TAATTTTTTTAATATTAATTAAAAATTAAGTTTTTAAACAAATGCTCTAAAAAAGTTTTGAGAAAATAACTTACTCTACGTTAATATCCAAATATAATCCTGTAATAATATCACACGAATGTTAGCAAATAACATTTTAGCTGTATCAAATTTATTATTACTATAATTTAGTATAATGTCCTGGTTTTTTAATTTTTTCATGCACTATTGGATCTCTCTCTTTCCTCAACTATTTTTATCTTCTTCGGATCCCTCTCTCTGATTCGCTAATTATTTCCATTTTTGTTTTTCCTATTTATAAAATTTTCCATTTTGCTCAAAAAAAAAAAAAATAAAGTAGAGAGCAAGTCAATGAAAGAGATTAGTGGAAGACTGAATACAGACTTAATGGAAGACTATACACAAGAGAGCCATGAATATTAACCTTAGAACTACAGTGGGGACAAGGGGATAGCCCTCGGAGACTTCAATGCTGCTCTTCTTCTGCTTTTCCGTGTTCTCTTTTGGAAAATTTTGCTTCTCAGCCTTGGATTAATCTCCTTTTGTTTTTTATTCCTCATTTTTTTTCTTAACATAATTTTTAATTTATAAATTTTTTTTCACTTCTTTTGAAAAGAAGTTTTCGTAACTTTCTTAGATTCACTTAATAATTTTTTAATTAATTGTTTATGTTAATATTTTATTAAAAAAATTAATAATTCAATAAAATTTTAACAAAAATTTGTTATAAAACTTATCAATCTTTTATACAATATTTTTAATCATTTTTTAATAAAATTTTTCTTAATAAAATTATGTCTAACAAAGCATATTGTTGGTGGAAGACTACATCAAAAAACGGCCATGAAAATTACACTTATAAGAACAGCAGTTGGGACAAGGGGAGATGGCTCGGAGCCTTCAATGCCTCATTCCTTTCTTCTGCTTTTCCGTGTTCCTTTTTCGGAAAAGTCTCTTTCTTTGGATTCCCATTTAATCTCCTTTCCCTTCATTTTATTAGTCTCACAGGAGTCATCTCACAGGAGTTATCTCACAGAGCAAAGTGCTTTTCTTTTATTTGATTGTTAATAATGAT